ATGGGCGGATGTCATCTTTTATTTTCTCCTTGCCCTTATCACTTGATCCAAAAGAAGTCAAATAAGGAGACTGCATAATCTTTGAAGGCATTCTGTTACGTGAAGCTCGAGTCTTTTTATCAAGATTGTGTGCAGGCTCTTTGACTGGCAGTTGGGTAGGTAGCTGGTTGTTAGATAGAAAATCATCACTACCGATTATCTGGAGTGGAATGATTACACTCAGTGGTCTGGCATTAATTAGTTGGTTTGGAAGTCCATATACAAGTGCATCTATGATTACTTCAGTTCCGGATGAAATAGAGGCCGATGTGGTAGAATTCTACATGATGTCAGGGAAATATAACAAAAATTACAATTTACATAAGCAATTGTTAACATTAATTTTCCAGTAAACAAATTAGAACCATACCGATGTATCAACAATTATTGGATTTGAAGCATATTTTTCGAAGTCTTGTTGAATTGTATCAGCAACATCTTCGTTACCGCTCAATACTTTTGTGTCTGATTCGTTGGCTTCAACTCTTGCATCCTCCTAATAAAGAGAATATCATATACTATTATGATTTTTTTTTTCAAATATAATTAATGTATAATAATTCAAAAACTCTTTACTTACCACTTCCTTATCATGAAGAATTTCATTTTTCGGAAGATCGCTATGGTGTGTTATGGGTAGAACCTCAGTGGACTCTTCCATTGCATGTTCCTTAATGGATGTATCATCCTTCTATGTTTATAAATTTGTTTATAAGGAAAAATAAATTTAAGTATCTGGTAATGGTAGAATATTAATGTTTTGATTCAAAAATAAAATATAGTATCAAATACACTATTAATGTTTCAAGTACAATCACTAATATACAAATAGCAACATTAGTTTCATTATTAAAGTATCAAACATTATACATGATACATTATTAAAACTTTTTAAGGGATTTATACACACGATAAGTGCATGTGATATTAATTTAAGTATCATATACGTACCTTTGAAAACTTTTCTTCAGTACCATGTTGTTTTTTCAACCTCCACAGCAGGTACATCAATATCATGATAAATAGTTGCAAAATCCATGTGTATGGGTGAAATGGGTTGTTGAAAGAATTGATCGGAAGTGGGTTGTGGATCAACATTACCTTTCTCTACGTAATCATCCACTATATGTGGCGTTGAAATGCCTCCAATATGCTTCATGATCCAAACAATCAGTATAACACAAAACTGAAAAGGGAAGCAAAAAAATAAAAATACTACCTTTTCACTTTTGTAATCTTTCACGCCAACTGTTTTCATCAACTCAGAATGATTTTCTTTTATTAACGCCTCAAGAGCTCCAATTTTGTTGTCAACCTAGATTCAAATTAAGCATATTAAGTGGAATTAACAATAAACAAACAAATGTTTAAATCATATGATTGTGTTTACTTACATAACACTTCATGTAATCCTTCAGTTCCTCAAGTCCTGCACTGTTCAAATTTGTTCTTTGAAAAATTGTATAATGAGGAACACCAGATACATTATCGGCTTGTGGCGGTTGTGAAATCGGAGTTTGAAATGGCTGATTTGGCTACTCATCTGGTTGTGTGTCTTTGGGCACATTAGTTTTAGGTAGATGTGCAACCTTTCTTCTCTTGGGGGTGAGGTAGATCATGTGCCAACAACTCGTGTTGATCTCCTAAACAGTTGCTTCGGAGGTTTTGATGAGAAGTCTTCAAAACCAGGAACCTCCTCTGGTTGCACCTCCTCATGATTAACATTTGATGAATCTGGTTGAGTTGGAGGTATATGACTGTTATCTAGTAAATCAAGTGATCTGATTTCCTCGGGAGTTGGCTAAATGTTAGAACAATCATTATATAAAAACAAATAGTAAAATATCATGAGAACCAAAATAATAATGTATCGCAAACTAAAAAAAAGGAAGTAAAATGTTGTTATGTACTAATTACCTCAATAAAGATGGTTTCCATAAACATCTCAAATTTGGGCTTTGCAGCCACAACTTTCCAATTGCATATCCTTGGTATACAATTTCCTTCTTTAACATCTATCTCGTTATGTATTACAGACGCACATTCATATACCCAGATATTAAGTGCGTATGGGAATCCATTCAAGCGATACATTCGTTTGTTGAGTTTTTACTCTTTTCTAAATGATTTCATTAACTTTGTGAAGGCAAGTTGTCCCCACGAAAACTGTCGATAGCTACAATCTTCTACCATTAAGAAATCTTCAATAAGGATTGTTGCATCACCAAGTTGCGAGAATACAAATGTATGAATGAAATACAAGATAGTCATCTGAAGGGCATCATCAGTGCTGACCCAACCACCCATAATAAAACGATCTACCATACGTCCTTTATTTACATTATAAGTTGGACCATGAAAATATCTTTGAACCAGCCTACTAGTTTTTGAATCTGAATATATAAAATTCTTGATATTTCCTTTACATTTCAGACCAGTAATAATAGCAAACTCTCTGATACTAAATTGCAAGACATTTTCTTTGGCATGACGAATATGAATTGTTTTGTCTAGATTGTCCTGCTCAATCTCTAACATATATAAACACTTGGTAATCTATCCTTGATAGTTGCATTTGGGGATATTTAGGTATGGAGCAAATATAATATCCTTGAACAATTCCATACCTCGTTCTTTATTGACAACACTAAATCTTCATTAAAATTTGAGTTGTAAGTAGGACAAAACTTTAGAGAGTGCTTTGGAATATGTTTAATTACATATTTCATATTTTGCAATTTCATAAATGAGGTTTATCAATCATTAAAAAAAGTAAATGATACATGCAGACCTACAAATGGAAATGCCATACTATTTCAGAAAAATACAATGTTTCGCTTTATTTAATACTAAATAATAACAAAACATAAGAGCTACACAAAATCAATTATTTTGTATATACAGCGACGTATATTTGAATATGATACAAAATGTAAAATTTCATATCCATTATATGTTATTTAAGTATCATTTGCTCAATTATCTATGGCTATGATACACTATACAAGAAACAACCTACGTGTCATACTGTGATTTGAACACCTATATCTTAGATACAGTTCTCTTCACAAAACTTTAACCAAAAAAATGATTTATGTAGATTTTTAACAAGATTACCAATGAGTAAGTTATACTCAATACCAACATTTGATTAAAAAAAATCATAATGTCATTCAATCTTATTAGTTGAAATTTATTCTTTTGATACATTAACAAGCAACAACAATATATGCAAAAATTATTGTATCAGGGAAACAACTTAAGATTTCAAACAAGATACACAATAAAAATTTCTTTATCATTAATGTATCAGATTAAACGAAAACAAAATAAAAACAGGGGGATGATATTTTAAACACGATATATGATAAAAAAAAAAATACATACCATGGGTAGTGTTGGTCAAAAAATGGGAGGGGTAACTTTTCTACCTCTTTTCTTTGGGGTTTTTGCATCCTTTGCTTTATAAGATGCATGTACTTCCTTTTTTGATTTTATCTTCTTAGAACTTTGATTTGCCATAATTGTCGGGTCATGCAACCTTTTAGATCTCAATTCTGTCCAGTTAGGATCTTCTGAATCAAGTATTCGAAAGTTGTTAGGTGTTAGATCCATAATGCAAGAGCCAAAACGATGAAAACACGAAAAAAAATTGAAATCGAAATGAAGAAGATGAGACAACCTATTTTGAACTTTGCAGACGGTTGAATAGAGATATGAATCGTTTGAAATTCAAATTGATTTGAATTTGATAACTGATTTTGTAATGGGGAGAGATTGAGGGCGAGATTTTAGGAATGGGAAACGTGGGTTTTGGTTCTTAAAGAATAATGTATCCAGCAAATTTGATTTGGGGGAAAAGAAGGGAATTTTGTATTTTTTTGAAAGAGTAGGGAAATAATGAGAATATGTAAACTAATGTTGTGTACTTTAGTAATTTTTCCCTATAAGTAACCCTTTTTTTAGTAGATGTAATTAGAGCCGTCAATATGGGCTAGGCTCGTTGAGCCGGCTTGGCCTAACCCGTGATTTGATAGGGTTGAGCTACGATTTTTGGAGCCCATTTAAGAAAAGGGTTTTTTTAGTCCGGTCTGAATAAGCCTATCGATTTATGGGGCTTGAGAAATATGAATAGGGTCGGCCCGTGGGCCAAATAAAAATTAATTAAAAAATAAAATAGAGTATTAATAATAACAAGAGTCTAAACTCAAAATCTATTTAAAGTTTGAAATATTACAATTTAAATACAAATTATGTTTATAAAATATGTACTACATAAAATAAAATTTTCCTAAAATTTCTAGGAAATCACTACATACCATAACCTATGGAATATTGTCATAGTTTTTATGTTTTATTATGATCATTAGAAAACAATTAGGTTAATATTTCTATTTAGTTATTTATGTTTTTACTTAAAATCAAACTTAATAAATATTATAAAAATAATTTTATTTATGTATTTGATTAACAAGTAGAACACTAACACCATATAATATTGTCTTGCCGATATTTATGATAATATTTTTAAATTATAATTTAATTTAAAAATTATAAAATATATATATTTTTAAGAAAAGAGGACTGGTCCGGCAAACCCATAGCCCACGAACTTGTGGGCTGGACCGATCATTTTCTAGTCAACAGAAAAAATAAACTAGCCTGACCTGATCCGTCAAATTTCAAAACTTGTATGGGTTAGTCCGAATAAAATGGGTCAACCCATATAAACAGCTCTAGATGTAATTAACCCTATTCACTAGTTAATGTAATAAGAGTAAGCATTGAAGAGGATTTTGTAACAAAGATATGGACCCATTTGGATTGTGAAAACGAAACGAGAGGCTATGTTGAGTCCACGTCTCGAATGATGTAAAGTACGTTAAATTGAAGGAGAGGTGTGGGGTTGAAGGTATCAGATACACAGGTCTGTTATACAAGTCTTGTATCTTTTTCCCAACTCCAAACATCGGTAAGTGTTAGTAGAATTGGAAATTGTGGTGGGTATTGAAGAAAATGCTGAATGATGAAGTAGTGGTACATCCATGAAAGGTATATCTTTCTCACAAGCATTATCAGCCTTTGAATTCACATACATCGGCTGTGCTACATGTAACGGCTACATCAAACCCACAATTGTTGCTAAGAAGACCAACAATTCCCATACACCCTCTTCTAAGGTACTCTCTCCTTGCCAACTATCTCTTCTTAATCATATCCTTATCTTACACTAGTAAATTTATTTACATTTTTATACATGCTTTCTTTATGTTGATACGTAGAAAAAGATAAATCATCAGTTGACGGATGTTCACCATGTATTATGGTGATCACTGTCTTCCAATTCAAAATCTAGGGGTTCAGTTAGACCAAGCCCTTTTGATTTAGTGTGTTCAAAATAGTGAATCATTTAACACATAATACATAGTTTGAGCTAAAACTATTGGGTTTCGATGAACCCATAACTTCTTAAACTACATATACCCCTGCAGAGAAGTAGATTGTGATGCTGCATCGGGTTTGTTCTAGAATGATAAGTAGCCAATTTCATTTTGCTTTTCGAAAATAGTGAAATGAGAGATATAAAAGTTAATAGGACTTCAAGAAATGATAAGCAAGTATTTAAGGAGAAAAAAAAGAAGAAAAAAGAAATGGGGTTCTTGTAGCCTATCTTAAGTAGTTGAAATGTTTATGCTTCTAATCTGTTGCAAAGGTGGTTGCTTGGTGGGAGAAAAGCTATCCACGTTCAAGTAGTCTTAAATATATATTAGGGTCATTAACCTCCCCTCTGAATTATCATATTCCCCGATTTCCCTGCTAAATTTGTGTATAAACTAACCTCCACTATCAAAATTTAGTAGTATCATATTTCAGAATTCTAAATTTAATTTAAAGAATCATTAGCTGTAAAATTTAAAGAGATTTCGTTCAATTAAGGAAAAGAAAATAAAATCTACTAGTGATTTGGGTTGTCCAGTCAGTTATACCTTTTTTAAAGGAATGTAAGAGGTTGCTTGCACTATGATGTAAAAAAACACTTCAATGAAAAACTAGAGGGGAGATTGTTTAACTGGACTTAAGAATTATCTAGGAAAAATAGATAAAACATGAGTAATAGGATATGAAACATAATTTTGCTTTGATCATGGCCCAGCAAGTCTCACTATAGAAGGACCCTAAACGCTCATTGTGATATTCAGCAGTTTGAAAATAAGCACTTCCTCGTTTATTTTATGTGTTTTAGTTTGATGGGAAATAAGGAAAACTTTTGAATCTTGTGGTCTTAAACTAAAGATGTGTATAATGTATGCCTTTTGAATCTTGTGGTCTTAAGCATACTATGTAGGATATTGAATTAAAGAGTTACTAATATAAATAAGTGTCCCTTTTTATAAACAAACTAAAAATGAAAGTAATACACATAAATAGAAATAGAGGGAATAGTACTTTTTGTTGATGATATCGTTGGCATCATTTTTCTACCTAAAGGCAAAGATTACATTTTGATTTTTGAAGTACTCTAATTGGCTTGCTTGTTAGCAATCACATATCTTTATGTTATCCATAGGGCGAGTTATCAGAAAGGATAGAAGTTATGAAGAAACACTAGCTCGCTTTGTCAGACATATAGGTAGTCCATTTGCTTTGGTGATTGGAAATGCTCTTCTGCTTATCTATTGTTTTTAAATGAAATAATTTTGCTGCTGTATCTCTATGTTGCTCACAACTGGATATATATCATTTGTATGGCCACTAGACATGCAAGTGCTGGAAGTTGATTTTGGGAGTAATTTGCATTAAGGGCTGGAGCTGGTCAAACTGAAAAGTTGTTTGGGAATCATTCAAAAGTATAACTGAGAAATTCTTAAATTGGACACAAACAGTTTTTGGGATGTCATGGGATACCAAACCATGTATTTATCCATCGACTGGAAATGTGTCCTAGTATGCCAATCTTTCCTAGTTTTTAAAACTATATTTACTTACTTTTTACAACTTATGAAATATTTTGATAACTCCACCTAGAACTGGCAAGATCATCCTGTAATTTGAATGTCCTGCTGAATAATTTAAATCTGATAAACTTTACTTATTCGACTTCGAATAGGATACTGATACGCCTCCTCCAAGGATTACATCAAACTTGAAGCAGAATTTGCAGTTCCTAAAATTATGGAAGGTCAGTCTTGAATTAATATCAATGGAACCTGTTACTAGATCTAGTATATTATTTTCAGCAATTCATATAGTGAAAAATCCTTTAGGAGTTCCAAAAGAGAAAATCCAGTACTCCAAAGCCTGCTACTAGTTATCGTAAGAAGAAGGTGGAGAAGGAAGAACTGCCAGACAATGAAGAGATCTACCGGGATCCTACATTGGCACTATACTAGTAATTTTTTTCCAGGTCTTGTCTAGAATGAATTTTCTTGTTTAGTAAACATCATAGTAGGTGAATTGACAAACTACTTACTTTTTTAAAAAATTTCTGTAGTACAAATCAGGTATTGGATACTGCTGTTCCCGTCTTGCTTGTTGATGGATATAATGTGTGTGGATATTGGCCAAAGTTGAAGAAGCATTTTATGAATGGAAGCCTTGACATTGCTCGTCAAAAACTCATTGATGAACTTGTATCATTCAGTTTGCTAAGAGGTTTGGGTCTTTTTATCCTTCAATGAGCCTGTTCCTATGTTGCATAAAAGCTTGCTAGAGCACATGTGGTCTTGCCTAGCTCTAGAATCAAATGAATAAAGTTGTCTTCGTGTGACCTACATGTCATGAATTTGATCCGTGGAATATGCCACTGATACTTATGTTAGGGTAGGCTGCCTACATCGCACTTCCTTGGGGTGAGGCCCTTCCACTATCCTGCATGAATGCGGTATGCTTTATGCACTGGGCTGCCCTTTTTATATGTGCATCTCAATAATCACTTGAAAGGCTCATAACTATCCTTGTAGTGAATTCCTTCTGATACTTTTATTTTCTGAGGTAGTTTATCTGATTCAGATTCTGCTACTCTTTTTGTTTAGAAGACTTTATTTTTAGCAATTGTAATATTATTCTGCTAGCTGTAGTAGTTTTCTGCTGTTTTTCATCAGATTATTGGCTTCTCGCACATTGAAATGAGCCCATATTGTCAAAACTAGTTGCTCTTTGTATACTTTATTCATGTCTTATTACTTGTCAATTTGTAAATGTTGCCATCTCATTTCAGTATATTGCAGAGGTGAAAGTGGTGGTTGTATTTGATGCTATGATGTCTGGAATGGCTACACACAAGGAAGACTTTGAGGGGTAATTCCATTAGACAATGAAAAACAACCCCGTAGTTACCTTCTGTGGATATGTTTCTGTCTGACAGACAGGCTCTCGGAATTTGCTATTATTTTTCTGCTCGTCTGTCATTACTGTAGTTTCATATGAAGTCAAATTCTTGTCCTCCTTTCAATAGTTAATATGTGGATATGTTGTTGCATACTAATGCTATATGCTATTGATTGTTAATAATAGCAAGTCAGTGACCCATGCTTGTGAAACATTTTTGGGCCCTGATGTGATATCATGTTTATTTTCATATTTACTTGTTTTATTCATTCTTCATAATATGAAAAGGAATTATGAGTCTGGAATTGAGCATACTTTCAAGGATTTTTTATTGTATTTATTTTCAGTCTCTATATTTTCCCACTTTTGAGATGTTCAGGTAACTAAAGAAGAAATCTGATTTCATTATCATATTTATCATGTTCATTGATATCTGATTCAGAAACCAAACATCTAATGGTCAGTTTTCTAATGACAGTTTATTTATACATCTACTGCTCAATTTCTTAGTTCTTGATTCAATCTACTTGTCCTGGTGAACTCTTGAATGCAGTCTAGACTAGACTGTTTAGTAGTAGAGTTATATGACTCACTTCTTCATTTTGCAGCGTTGATATAGTATATTCAAGTGAAACATGTGCTGATGCATGGATTGAGAAGGAGGTGAGAATGTGATGAAGCTCAATTCTAGAGAAGATTTATCATTTTTATTTTCAAGTTGCTGGGTAAATAACTTTACGTGTTAGTACTTAGTACTAGAAGTATGTTATCTCAATAGCCTTTTTGGATGGTAGTTTTTTTTTTCCTGCAAGAACAATTGCAAAATTAATGCCCATTTGCATTAGAAGTTAAAACTGAAAATTGAATGATCGCTTTCATTTAATAAGGGTTGATGTTCATCTGTTCTTACCTTTTTATCCATGTCTCATAATACAGTGCAGATTTTTCAATACAGATTGTGCATTTATTGGATCAAAGATGGGTTCACATCTGTGCTCATCCTTTAAATTTCTTTTACCATAAACCATGTCTACCTTATTCCTTAACCAAATTATTGCATGGTATTCACATGAAATCATTTTATATGTCCCAAGAATTTCCTAGTCTATTGCTGACATTAGAGTTTGGTCCACGAGTGGTTGAAGGGTAATTGTACTTGGTATGGTTTAAGTTGAAAGTTATCTCTCCAGTTTTATGTGAATTGTTGCACCACCATTAGATGCAATACTAGGCCTTACACTGAATTACAGAAACTAGTTTGCACATACCTTTATGTGTAATATTTTGCTGATCTTTCTATGGCTGGACTGATAGATTTGTTGTCCATGGCATTGAAAGGTGGTCGCTTTAAGGCAGGATGGGTGTCCAAAAGTATGGGTTGTCACATCTGATCATAATCAGCAGCATGCAGCCTATGGAGCAGTATGTACTTCTACCTTGATATGTGATAGGATTCTAAGTAGGAAACTCTAAAGAAAATGATAATGGAAAGAAATAAGCAAAATGTAGAAGAAAGATACTATTGATAATGGATTTATGGGGAACATTGGATTTGTTACCAACACTTCCCAATTGAATTCAATCGAGTCCAAATGGTCATATTGACTTGTACAAAGTTTCCAATGCTAAAAGGAGGGGGGGGTGTTAAAACCTTAAAATGAAGGTTGAGTTGTTGCACTTTAATTCAAGTGAATTTCTTATGCTTGTGATTTCCTGATCCATGTACTAATTGAAGTGCACCGACAACTTTCCCCTGTGGTCTGAATCTGATTATATATTTCTGATAGCACTCACACATATCAATTTTTTTCTGGTACTCTAACCTTCTATGAAGGTAAAATGATTAGCTATCTGTTTCAAAAAAAAAGTACAATAAGTAGCTATTTCAGCCACAGTCGGCAACCTCTTTTCTTCACCATCCATTCTCTAGCATACATCCTTTGGGTAGAGACTAATTTCCTTATTAAAACTTTGGCGGTTCTACCAGGGGGCTTTTGTTTGGAGCTGCAAGGCCTTAATCTCTGAGGTAATGAGCAAATATCAGATTCTTCATGGTGCTTGGCATTAACCTTTGTCATCTCTCAATTTTCTCTGCTGCTTCATGTCTTAAAACAGAACAAAGGAAAGCGAGGTTGAGAGTTAAAATAAATTCTTTCTTCTGCATAAAGAAGAACAAAGAAAATAAAAGTATATATTTTTTGTTTTCTTGTGACTTTTATTTCATTTAGTGAGATGAGAAGTTTCTACACCGTACTTGTTACCTGAACTGAAGAAAATATAGTTTTCTTAAACTTTTCTTCATTTATTCTCAGTCCTCTTATTCTTTTTTTCCTTCTCCATTTTCTTTCTAATGGAAAAATATGGGAGTTGCTCCTCAACTTAGTAGGTGTAACTTAACAATCTAAGAGAAGGGGTATGTTGAGTCCAAAAAGGAAGTTCAAGGGCTTAGATGAGAGTAACTATAGTATAAGAGCGTAAGCAATATTCTTCTGTAAAGTCTAAAGCTATATGGTCCTTTCCCCCTTATGTATTGCGTAGAACTACTGGTAAAATTGTTTTTGTACAATACTTGTACTCAGTAGAATAGTTTTATTTTGACTCTAACTCACATTTGGATTAGAGGCTTAAGAATGTGATCCGTGCTGTTGACATTGGCACCTTATCTGACTTTGTTTTAGTTAAAAATGTCCAACACCTGTATGCTTGTGGATATGAAGATTAGGTGCTTGAATGTTCTTCTAAAGTGTTTGCACTAAATAGTAACAGCTACTGCTACGAATAATCTGCTCCCTAATTCTGATGTAAATTATCTGATCCTTTGAGATAATGTAGATTAAAGCTTCACACAAGGAGGTTGAGAGAATGCTGCGGGAACATAGGTATATCGCGTAGTTTGAATTTTTTTCGTTTCTTGTCTAATCTGGAGATTACTCAGCTCCTCGGGTTGGAAAAATATTCATCTGAATGTATTTATGGTAGCTTTAAGCGACTCATCTTTTCCATATTCTTCTTGACCTTTCAAGAAAAATTATTTTAACACAATTACATGCTAGTTTGCAGTGTTTTGTTCTTTTATTTACCTTGCAGTTGTTTCTCGTAAGGCATATAAAGTAGTTAATAATTACTTTTGAACTTGTTTAAAGTAGAATTGAAGGCATTTCTTGTGATTAGCTTTACTCTAATATATTCTAGTTGAGGTTTGAAGAGGGACATTGCGGAATCCTTCATCTTTCTTACAGCATGTAGTTAAGAGTCATTTAGTAATTGACCTGCTCGAGCCCCTTGTCCTCAGCTGAGCGGGTGAGAATGTAAAATCTAGCATGTTGATGAAGTTTTTTTTTTTTTTTACTTTTTGATGAAGTAAAATGTTACTTTCTAGTCTGTTCTCTTTTCTTCTGATATGAAAAAGAAAATGCTATGTTATGCTACTAGACAAACAAGTATAACCCAGCACCAATAACAGTACGTACCTCATAAACTGCTTGTAAGCTAAACTAATGGCAGTTATCTCGTGAACTGTTTTCTTTGTTTTTAGTTTTACTGAAGATATATAAGTAGAAATTGTTGAAGAAGAAGTTTGACTATACATATTTTGTATGATTGTGTGTGCTGTTGCTTTGTTTTTGTTGTTATTGCTCTTTTCCCCTCCCTGAAAAAGTAGTTATCATTTGCATTGTGGACATTTCAATCTCATCAACTATATATAGCTCATCCATTCAGGACACTTCTTTCCTTTCCAGCTGTTGAATCAATTGGCGAAACTATTAATGATAGGCTATAGTATGATTAACAGATCCTATCCATGTTGTCTTTCACACTTGCATAATTTCACCGCCATCTGACAATGCTAATAGTTTCTTGATGTGCCGATTTTCTTCACAGATCTACTTCTATGCAAGGTAAATTGTTAAAGCACAACCTCGGTGCAGAAGTTGTGGATGCTCTGAAGGACCTCAGGGACCAGCTTTCTCAAAATGAGACGCGCAGATGATAAGTCTCACGAGAGACTATGTCAGAGACCGAAGCAGAATTTTAAGTCAATGGATGCGAAGTTCTAACTGCCCTAATAACTTTATGACTTTATATTTGGATGTGTGTTATAGACACATATAAACCAAATGTTTCAACCACATGTGTGCATCTTGGGCTGATGCTGCCTTCAACATTCATCCGCATCTGGGTTATTCCTTGTGCCAACATCATGGAGATGCATACATTTTTTGAAACTACTGTTGAGTATTTACAAGTTATTGCCCATTTCTACATTGTCTGTTTGTTGGGAGTGGTATATAAGTTGGATGGACTTTATTGTTCTAGCTAATGATACTTTTAATATTGCAAAGATCATGTTCTTGCCTCAAATTATGCATAGTGATCTAGTCTGCCCTGTTCATTCCCCTACAGTGAATTATTTATGGGTAAATTTGTCACGTGATACTTACTAATGACTGAAATCACAAAACTAAATTTCATAATCCATAAATCGCAGAATCTAAAACTCATATTTTTGCCTAGTAAAATACATTTCAAATAAACTTATATTTACACATTATTTTCAAAGCCTAACCCACCTATTACCCGTATTTTAAATCCAATTGCACTATATAAAACAGAGTAAAACTCACATGGATTTGGCTGTACACTGTTAGGATTAGAAACCGCCTAAATCATGAAATGTGCATTGGTAGGGGCTAGTCAGATGACTGTACGTTTGAAGTCAAGTAACTCCCTCCGTTTAAAAAAAGAATGATATAATTGGACTTAACATATAGTTTTAAAAAAAATAATGACTTTACAATCTTGTGATCCTAAATTAAAGTTGTGTGAAATATACCAAAACATTATTTAATCTTGTGGCCTTAAACATGCCATAGAGAAATCTAAAATTGAAATGTTGCAAAAATAAAATAAAATGGAGTCATTCTTTGTCAAACACGCTAAAAAGAAAATTAGCTCTTTCTTTTTTAAACGGAGGGAGCATTACAATTTTTGGACTAAAATCAGGATTATATAATCTGCATAACTTATTCATTATGGGATAAGTTATTCAGATTATAGTCTTTGATTTTAAAATCGTTTTAGCAAATACCTCTAACTAAACAAATAATAAATTTAATTTAAATTTTAAATGGAGATAGTCCAACTAATTCCTTCATCCGAAAATACCCCTTGGTGCTTAGGCTGTTTTGAAAAATGGTACTCACACATGTCTATTACTATGAAAGCACCAGATGATATCTATCTTCAAGTCCATTGGTTTAGGACTAGGATGTATAACTCTAAAGTTAATGTATTTATAATAGATTAATTTGATATAATTTATGATTCGGATATAAAATCCTGATACAAAAATACAATAGATAGTCATATGGTGAGAACATCATATGTGCATGAGTTAGCTAAGAAGACAAACTATAAAGAATTGTTTGCGTTAAGGTAAGTTTCAGGAGTCCGAAGCCTAAAGGGCAACAAAATTGTCAAAAATTTTCAAAGGGCACATCAATTTATTTTTTTTAACCAAAAGGACAAACTTTTTTCGAATTTTTTCAAAAGTCTTTCATCTATGAGGTAAGTTTTGATTTATTTTATTTTTAATTTCAAGAATTAATTTTTAACTTTTATATGGTATTATGAACATATTCGTCTTTAAATAATTATATTAACATTAACACTTATTTTTATATTTTGTATATAGATATGCATCCGTCAAATATGTACGTACATTACGGTCTAGTAGAGTATGATATATTAAAAATTCAAGTTGATCATCGTTCTGAAGGAATTTGGAATGGTAGCTTAAAAGAAGAGAAAACTTGCTTATATACGCGTCGCAGTTCTGTTGAATTTCGGCAACATATAAAATATCATCTATTATATCCTCACATTCGTCAGTATTTTGAAAATTATAGGTTTAAAAGAATTCTTGATGTAGGATGTGTGTTGTATGACTCCGGATTAATTTTCTGTTTTAATTGAAAGGTGGCGTCTAGAAACACATACCTTTCACATGCGAACTGGGAAGGCTACCATAACTTTACAAGATGTAGAAATTTTGTTCGGAATGATGATAGATGGTAGTCCTACAATTTTAAATGGCACTGATACTTTAGGATTTTTGGGTAGACAAGAAATGATGTTTGAATTAACATAATGGTTACTGGATAACGATTATTTTTCTGGTGTTAGTAGACTGTTAACATATAAATTAATTGAGCATATTGAGGGTTTACATGATATTACTGATGATTCAACTGAGGTGCAACAAAGGTTTAAATTATATTTATTATGGGTTATATGGTGGGTCAATATTTCCAGATAAATCTAATAATAAGTTTAATTTGGACCTTTTGATTGACATGAAATTTTTTAACGTAATGTCAACACACGCATGGGGAGCAGCCGCATTATCATATTTGTATAACTGCTTATGTCGTGTATCAATGAAACAATCAAATGAAGTTTGTGGATTTCTCACTTTAATGCAAGTATACATTTTTTATATTTTAGTAATATGCACTTTTAAATTTAATTATATTCTAAAAAAAATGTTAAATTTTATTTATTGTAGATTTGGGCATGAGAACGTATTATTCCCCTACAACCATTATTGTTCCCTCTAAGGACCAATCAACTTGAGGCTCCAACTGCGGTTGCACGTAAATGGACTCGACATAGAAATCATCAAAATGAGGCACAAACAGTAATCGATGTGATTAGGGATGTACTAGATAACCTAACTGATGATCAGGTATTTAAATATTATTAGCAGTTTTAACTATTCATATTAGTATCCCATTTTATTTAAATTTTTAACCATTCATATTTATATCCCACTATCCAAGAAAATCATGTGAATATAATAACAAATACATAAATTTTTGGTAGGTCCTCAAAATAAAATATTATATGACATAATAGTAAAAAAAAAGATATTTCGTAAGATTGTTTTAGTTAATGTATATTTTTGTTTTTAGTTTTTTGTCAAAATATTTAATAATTATCTTACTTACATTTTTTTATAGTTTATTTGGCAACCTTATTCAGAAGATGTTATTAATGAATTGCCTGAGTGGTGTCGGTTAGGACAATCTGTCTCGATGGCACATGTGCCACTCATTTGTGGAATTTATTGTGAATGGCACATGATTGATCGTGTTGTGAGACAGTTGGTTATTTACAACATATTTTTGGACCGTGTATCCAATTTTCCAACATCATTTTAAGCGTGATAAATGATCCAAAATAAAACAAGAGGATATAGATGCATTTAACTACACACAATATTTATGGGAACAACGTCAAAATTGTATATTTCGACCTCCATTTGTAAGTGATCAAGCAGATTACTTTCATTGGTACATGAGGCACTCTTGCATGTTCATTGAAAATAAACATGTTGTACAAAGAGGGTATCAACACATGGCAGAAAGACATGAGGCATTAGTATTTATATTATGAAAATTTTAAATTATTATATTGATCTTTAACAATTTTTTTGTTATTAATAAATTTATTTATTTATTTTAAGCTAGGAGTCATGAAATGCAGTATCGTCGAGCTCGAATGAAAGAAAATGATGAAAATCAATCTAATGAAATGAGACAATATGCAGAGAAAGTCACTCGTATTTCAATGGAGTCAATGAATGCGGCCTCCCAAGGAACATGATTGAGCTTTGCTCCTGATTACAATCCTCTCACTCTAAAGCGAATCATCCAATTACACCCCAACTCATGACGCTTGCAAATAACTCTCCAACTTTTATTCTTGGATTGATCACAAATAATTTTTTTATTGCAAGACTATATGCTCTTACGATAGATTTCATTTGTTTCTTATTCATAAATAGCATACCTAGTTGCATAGACAAATTAGATTAATCACTATAAAATAAATAAATAAAATACTACAAAAAATTTAGTTTGGAACAATCGAACATGACTGAATATATTTAAGATTGTTTGGATTCCAAAGTGCAGTTCAGATAGAACTATCATCTCTTGTATAAATAAAATCTTATGCACTTTCTTCAGTGTGATCTAAGTATGGAATCACAGTAGAATGATGATTAACACTTTGATCTTCAACGGGTGCATTAGGTACTATCCACATCATCATCATCAGACATTTCATCATTGTCTATTAATTCATGCTCCAAAGGTTCATCACTATGCAACTCACCAACTCGTTCATCACCCATAACATTGTTGTTCACAATTTGTGTACAATAATTCACTGCATCTTGAAGTTGGTCACACCTATAAAATATAGTAAAAGAAATATATTGTATATTGAAATATTTTTTTAATTTAATAAATAAGAAAATATCACTTTATTTACCTATCAGTTGACTCCAGTAGAAAAAAATAATCACTCAGATTCAAATTAATCAAGTGCATGGAAGCATTGCTAGGCTCTCCCATATTATAATCCGACGCACTCCAATCCAAATAATAATCATGAACATATAAGATAGTTTTTGCTTATGAAATTGTTGTGTCAGAAGTGATATTTTAAAAAAAATTAGAGGGGGAATTTCGCTACCTAGATCCTATTACCTCCCTAAACTCATTTTTTTCATATTTTTGTGCACCTTTTGTGCTGATGTGGCACCTTCAATCACCCAAGTTGGTTGTGTTTGTACACACTCTCCTACCATGTGTGTAAATATTATTTTTAATTAAAAATAATCTTAATTTTTTTTGTAAAAAATATTCTTATTTTCTTATCTTGTCTTTAAATTAAGTTAATACACATTTATTACGTTGTATCAAAACTTTTTTTTTACCTACATTCATTGTTTTTCTCTTTTATTTTTCTATTGATTTTATTTTCTTTGTCTTTCATTTTGATTTGATTTCAAATGTCTTGTATTTAAAATAAGTGAATTTTGGACGGATATCAAAATAAGTTAAGAAAATCAAATAAAATATTAAAATTAAAGGACACTTTTAAATTATTTTTTAAAAAAATACACATAATTTTTTAAAAATAATTTAAAGAGAAAAGATAATAAATTAAATAAAAAAAGTTAAAAGTGAAAAGAAATTAAAATAAATATTTTACAAAGAAAGAAATAAAAATAATTATATATATATATATATAAGTTTTAGGGATAAGGGTCTGAAAAATATCTCAACTTTGGTCGAAATTGTTGTTACAATACCAAACTTTATGGAGGACCTTTTACCTCCCCCCCCTCCCCAGAACTATTTAATAGTGTATTTTTTACCCCCTGAATTATTTAATA